GTTATTTACAGTTGTTGTAATGACTATATATTTGCTGTGGGCCCTACAGCTGGCTTTCTGATAATCTAGGTGTGAATCCAGAAGGATCTGCCACAGCTGAACCACAATGAACTGGAATTATCAACTGCTGTGACATGCTTTAAGTGTTCCATTTAAGTGTTTCATTGTAAAACGAATAACCAATTAGATTAATTGGATACACACACACACACAAAAAGCATTTATGTATGCACATGACATGTATTATGATGGGCTCTCGAACACGATCAATGCAAATAAATCAAGCATGCGCACAGATGTGGGGTCCGTCACTCACGTACATTCCATTGGCATTCTGTGAGGAGAGGTCCGTGTCGTCTGGCCTTCAACAGCTACGAGCAATCTGTGCCCTTGTCATAGAGGTTAGGGGTCTGTAGTCTGTCTGGAGTCACAATCCAAAGATAAGTGCTGGTTGACAGGGTCCTTGACCTAATAATAATAATAATAATAATAATGCTGTTAAATGAGTCAGATGTGTTCAGCCTGGACTGATTCATAAGTGGTTTTGATTTAATAAAGAACAGGTTCATAAGAGTCATTCGTTTCATTTTCTTTTGCACGTCACGCACATTTCTCAGAAATTTGTCATGCATTTTTAATATATTTTCAATAGCATGTTAATACGTGTTGTTGTTTTTTTAGCATTATTAAATGCTATTACAGTATTTATTCATATTTGAAATAAACCTTTTTAAATGTTTTATTGTAGTTTAAGTTTTAGTGGTTTTAGATATTTTTATCTTATTTTATTTCAGCTTTATTTCAATGAACAAAAAATATTTTTATTGGTTTTAGTTAACGGTAACTATTTTAATGGCCCTTTACAGGTTTATTTGTGCTCCAGATATGTTTCATCTCTTGTTGGATATGTCTTAAGTTATTTTGGGTATTTCAATTTATTGCTATTTATATGTCTATTTGACTTAAAGTTATATAATTTCAGTTTACCCTCAATTATTAAATTAATTGACAGTTGTGAGTGTATCATTTCACATTTGTGTGTTAGCTGATTATTACAGCTTATGTTTCAGAGGAATGAGGTTAGAGAGGATTACAGGTGTCAATACAGTCATTCTCCACAGGCCCCAAGCTCGTTTCTAATGTCTGCTCGTCTATGTGTTTATGTGTGTCTATGCACTTTTGTTTTCCCAGCCTTTGATTATGGCTTCTTACTGTGCATAAGTGAGGATGCTCTCAGGGTTGAGACTCTGAATGAGTACTTGAGCAGTCGCAGTTATCTGGTTGGCTACGGGCGTTCGCAGGTGGATGCAGAAGCCTTTGCACTTCTATGCAGGCCCCTGCCCGAGCGGCATGTCCACGCCCTGCGCTGGTACAAACACATAGCCGCCCTGAAGCCCCAAACGAATGGCCAGACCCCAGAATGCAGCAGTGAGTAGACAGAACTCCCCCTGTCGTAGTCAGGGTGCATGAACGTCGGTTGTAGCTGAATTGTGGTTTTATTTTGTACTTTGATTTAGTGGTTTCTGTGCTGAGGACATTTTCAGTATGTGTTGCATGAGCTTGAGGTGTGGGTAGTTTGATGTGTTAGTTAGTGTACATAAGGTGAGGTGTTGACGGGAATCTGAAAATGAATGTACAGTCAAAACAAGACGATCACTTCTCAGGTTTGTTCTGGACAGGACCGGAATGGGTTGAGTTGTAGGTGACTGATACACACTGTGTGACTGAGGTGTTGTGGTTTTAAACCGTTCTTTCATTAGCCCGCAATGTTTTGCGGCTTTGTTGGCACATTGTTTGTTTCACTTTTGCACTGTGTATGTGTTACTTTCATTTATACGTTTAATGTTTTCTATGAGGAAAAAAAACCCTCTCTTATACTATTGCATCAGGTGTGCACCAACAACTATTTCCCGTGATGCACCTGTTGTTCAGTATAGGGATTGAATATTATAAATTAATCTGTAAAAGTGACTCTTGTTTTTCAGCAAAGGCAAAGCGGGTGCAGCCACCATGGTCTCCGCCAGAAGGAACAGATGTTTCAAAGCTGCATCTTTATAACAGCCTCACACGGACCAAGGTACAGTATGAAAGATAAAACAACATGTGTGGCTGACATGTAGAACATTACTAGACTAAATTAACACTTTCTATATTTTATCTTACTATAGTATTGGTAGCTGAAAGCATAATCAGATTAACCCAAATATTTTTAAAACATCAACATATACAATATCAAATTTTTTTTAATTTAAGAAATGAATTATTATATATTGTGAGCATGCACATAATTGATCAAATGTGACCGTGAGAACATTTGTAATGTTACAGACGTAAAGATTTCTATTTCAAATCAATGCTGTTCTTTTGAACTTTATATTAATCAAAAAACATGGTTTCCACAAAATATTAAGCAGCACAACTGTTTTCAACATTGATAATAAGAAATGTTTCTTGAGCATAAAATAAAACCAAATCAGCCTATTAGAATTTTTTCTGAAGGATCATGTGACACTGAAAACTGAATAATGTTGTTTTTCCATTACAAGAATCAATTAAATTTTATTATGTATTCAAATATAAAAAAACAATTTAAATTGTAGTAATATATTAAACTATATATAAACAGTATTACTGTTTTTGCTGTATTTTTGATTAAATAAATTCAGCCGTAGTGAGCACAAGAGACTTGTGACACTGAAAATGGAATAATGTCTGCTGAAAATTCAGCTTTGCCATCACCAGAGATAAATTACATTTTAAAACAAATTCAAATATAAACAGCTATTTTTTAATTGTGATAATATTTCACTGTATTAATGTTTTTACTGTATTATCGATCAAATAAATTCAGACTTCTTTCATCAACATAAAAAATGAATGCTGTGTTATAATAAACTACCAAAACCATTCATATCCATCTTGTTTTGTGCATTATAGGAGGTGTTTGTACCACAGAAGGGCAACAAGGTTTTGTGGTACTGCTGCGGCCCCACTGTTTATGATGCTTCTCACATGGGTCATGCCAGGTGACATATTCCCCATCCATTCATAGTATTTCTTTGTTTTCAGTGTGCCCCAGCTGTTGAAAACAGCACAGTAGACACAGCACAACAGTCAATGAAAAGGCTGAAGCAGACATTCAGCTTTCAATCCAGGCTAAGTATTTGTTAGCTGTGTATGTGAGGCTGCAAACCCAATCACAAAGAACTATTGTATTTGAATATGGTTTAATGAACATGGGCAAAAAGAGAAAATATTAAAAAAATGTTCCATCCAAGGCCCATACAGCGTTTTTGATGGATCAGTTCTCTGTATTTCATGCGGATTCAATGTCTTTGTTCTTTCAGGTCTTACATTTCTTTTGACATACTTCGGAGAATACTGAAGGATTATTTCAAATACGATGTCTTCTACTGTATGAACGTCACAGATATTGATGACAAAGTAAGAGCAGCGTTTGCACAGAGTGTGAATGTAGTTGACCTTAAACATTTGAACTCTGTAGAACCTTATAACTTATGCTTTTGGTCATATGAAATGCTACTGAGGGTAGTTTAAATCAATCATCAGTGTGACCTCTTCGTTTCAGATCATCAAAAGAGCCCGACAGAACTACCTGCTGGAGCAGTATGGAGAGAAGAAGCCCAGTCCCTCTCAGATACTGCAGGATGTGTTAACAGCCCGAACGGTGAGGGGAAAATAAAGCAAGCACATCACTCCAAATGAATCCTGTTATCATGCTGAAAGTTACTGAAAGTACCAATTTAAAGACACCATGAAATCAAAACTGATAATTCCTATTTGTATGCAGTGTTGCAGTTAGAAATTATTCATCCATGCACATCATTATCAAAAAATATTTTAAGAATTTAATTTTTTTAAACATGCTCTCATAATTTTTAATCAATATCATTAACATGCCCTCTTCTTTTGCATCTCTTCTCTGATGACGTGTGCATCGGCATGAGGGCTGGACAAAAAAGTTGTCCAGTAGCACTCCAAGTTTCAATCATTCCCCTCCAGCAACCTGGGACTCACATGAAACGATCATAGAATTAGCAAATGACTATGAGAAGATGTTTCATTCAGACATGCATCACTATAGACTTTTTTATGTTCTGTCAGCTGAACAATGGGCATGTTGTTAATCAACAGTCCATTCCACTGAACGCACTGTACTTCTGTCTCTCACAACCTTGATTTCATTCTTGTCAAAAATTAAGTATGTTGCTATCCTGACTAAGGTCTATAGCAGGGGTGCCCAAACTCGGTCCTGGAGGGCCGGTGTCCTGCAGAGTTTAGCTCCAACCCTAATCAAACACACCTGAACCAGCTAATCAAGCTCTTACTAGGCATACTAGAAACTTCCAGGCAGATGTGTTGAGGCAAGTTGGAGCAAAACTCTACAGGACACCGGCCCTCCAGGACCGAGTTTGGACACCTTGGTCTATGCGGAAGACAAGACGGTTGCAATTTTCATTTCATGCCAACTTTAAGATAGAAGACAGAAATACTGCATGTTCTGCAAATTTGAATTATTTGCTTTAATTGATGCTTTTAAAAATAAACTCTTCTTCTAATAGTTCAGGTCTGTCTGTCACACAACTTATCAGTTATTTTTATCAGTGTGCCCTGCCTCGTGGTTGCGTAAACTTTCACATTAGCAAGATAATAAAGATGTATACAGTATCCTGAAGTACTGAAAGAACTGCCTTTAACTAATTAAATGAATGATTTTGCTGAAAAGATTTAAGCGGCTCTGAAAACTAAATGGAAGCATTACCACCTCAAACCCTCAAGACTGTTAGTTTCTGGCCTTCACAAAAATGTCTTCATTGCTTTCATCTGTTTCCCCATCACTGTGCTTTAATGTAATTTGGTTTTATTGTGTTTAGCCATTTAAAGCCAAGCTTGCTGAAACTACTGACCCAGATAAGAAACAGATGCTGGAGAGGCTGGATGCAGCAGTGGATGCTGCCCTTGGTCCCCTACAGATGTCAGTGCAGAGCAACGCTGCAGGCGATACACTCCAGAATCAGGCACAGGTAGATGATATGTGCAACGTTTTAAAAACACTTAATGTGACTGAGTTTGATCTGGCTCATATGAGGCATTCTGCTCTAAATTATACATCAATTAACATTGTGTTTTAATGAGATAATTTGAATTCATGGCATGATTCTGAAGCTAACTTGTTCTTCTTAATGGTTTTCATTGTTAGGTCTTATTGGAGGAGGCTAAGGATCTCTTGTCAGATTGGTTAGACTCCCAATTTGGGAGCCAAGTGACGGAAAACTCAATCTTCTCTTTGTTGCCAAAATACTGGGAGGGAGAGTACCATAAAGATATGGAAGCCCTGAATGTGAGTAAACTGATACTGGTGAATAATTCAATAGCTTGAAAATGATCCGTCTATGTATGTACACTAGCTACTGTTCAAAAATGTGTGGTCAGTAAATTATTATTATTATCAATGTTTTTAAAAGGAGTCTCATGCTCACCAAGGCTGAATTTATTTGATTAAAAATATAGTAAAAACAGTAACATTGTGAAATATTATTACAATTTCGAGTAAACTGATACTGGTGAATAATTCAATAGCTTGAAAATGATCCATCTATGTATGTACACTAGCTACTGTTCAAAAATGTGTGGTCAGTAAATTATTATTATTATCAATGTTTTTAAAAGGAGTCTCATGCTCACCAAGGCTGAATTTATTTGATTAAAAAATAGTAAAAACAGTAACATTGTGAAATATTATTGCAATTTAAAATAACAGTTTTCTGTTTTAAATATATTTTAAAATGTTATTTCTGTATGTTTTCAATTTCCAAATAACCTTTATTTTTGATATTTTTTATTGCTACTATTATTATTTGAATGGTTTAAAGTAAAAAAAAAACATTTTGTTGTCATTATAAAATGCCCCATTAAGACCCTTATGACTGTGTCAAGGTCATTATAAAAGCTTCTTTGAAAATATCACACAATTTGTCCTCTTAAATGAAAGTACACGTTTTGTTCAGGTCAAATGGAGTAAGTAAAAGAACTTTATTCATTACTGTCATTATTTTTGACCTATGACATTTTTTATAACTTTTTTGAGAAATAATGATTAAGAAAAGTCATATATTTTTCAAGGGGCAAGGAAGGTTTTTTTTAACTAGATGGATACACCACTTGTCATCTTGTCACCACTTGTCAAAGATAACTAAGTACCTTTTACGTACCTTGGCACGTAAAAGATTTGTATTTTTTCTTTTCTCAAAACATCCTTATTTGTCATTGAGCTATATGGAGTCTCTGTGGTGTCCGTACATTTGTGTAGTCATTTATTCTGCCTTGTACATTTGTCCCAGTAACTACAGTATGAAGTTTTGACATTGTGCATTGTGCTCTATTTCCTTTCAGCAAGGCAGCTTCGTTTGGCCTTTCTGATGCATTCATGGAAAGACACATTGGATTACTCCAACAACACAATGGAGTCAGCCATCCAATATGAGAGATTCATAAACGTGAGTGAGAAACCAAATGGAAGAGGCAGTGGGGGAGAAAAGTGCCACAATTATTTTCATAATCTATCCAAATTTAATATCTGCCACTTATCAGCATACAGAATCCTCATAAGTGCACAATAGGCTTATCTAGATTCCTTCAAGAACCCAGAAGGTCGGAGAATAGTGCGTGTCCTTCAGGGCGCATTAATTCCGTCTTTCCACCTATCAATTACTCCGTCACCAAGGAATATAACATGGGCAGAGTTCCAAATTTGCCTGAAACACACAGGCAGCCATTATACCTATGACTGACCTACATGCTATATTTTCTTAGGCCAGCCTCACTCGAACTTGAGGTTAGGATCTTAATGAGATGCACTGTGTTTTTCCTTCCACCCCAGTCCACCGCCAAAGGCTGTACTTGAGTAAAAATGAAGACAGCTTATTAGAAGGTGATGCAATAATAGTGCAATTCCCTTAACAGAATTTGGCTGAAATGTGACTGGAGATGAATAGAGGTTCTGAGGTCCGAAATTAGAAGCAAAAGCTGTAAACATTCAAACAAAGTACATTAAAAAGCTGAGAGTGTTGTTAGTGTGTGTAGTGTGGGAAATGTTAAACAATTAGTTAACACAAAAACTATTTTAAGTGTAGTCTAACAGTAGCAGCATTTGTACCGTTTCAAATAAATGCTGTTCTTTTGATCTGTTCATTAAAGAATCCTGAAAAAAAAGTGTTATGGTTATAACTTGCAAAAAAAAAAACTTACGAGCCCAAGCGTTTGAATGGTTTAGTGTGATTTAAACTCATCTTGCAGTTTATGAAAAAGAACATGTATGATTGTCCTATAGACTTGCATTGTAAGTCCATAACTTGTTTAAAATGGAATATTCTTTTGAAGTGAGCAAGTGGTATATGACTTTGTGTTCTGCTCCTCTCTTACTTTGTTTCCACAGGAGTTCTTCCTAAATGTTAAAGATATTCTGAGGAGCCCTACAGACATCACTGGCCAGTTTGAGAAATGGGAAGCTGAGGAGATTGAACTAAACAAAAGGTGACGCATATGTTCCTGAAGACTACATTGTCTTTCTCTTAAAAATAAAGCTTTATCACTCATTACGGTCATTTGTGTGTGTTTGTGTAGCTTCTATGAGAAGAAAACATCAGTTCACGAGGCGCTGTGTGACAACATAGACACTCGTTCGGCTCTGGAGGAGATGCGTGCTCTTGTTGGTCAGAGTAACACCTACATGGCTGCCAGAAGGAGTGCAAAACTACCGCCTAACCGCATGCTGCTGCAGAGCATTGCCCTGTATTTGACCGACATGCTTAAGGTAGCATAACAAAAAAGTAGTTATACAGAGCTTGATTTTGGACATAATAGATACATGGAGACAACAAGAGAACGCTTGTTTCTGTAGTATCTCTAAAATTCTTTACCCATATTGCTACATTTAAAACTAAACATCTGGTCCTCTCCTAAAATCTGAATAAGTTTAGATTAAGAGACAGAAACCGAAACAATGGATGCACATTGAAGAGCTTGCTAAAACTGTTTTCTGCTTTGACAGACATTTGGAGCGATTGAGGGAAGTGAGCCCATTGGCTTCCCTGTTGGAGGAAACGGACAGAATGCTGATGTAAGCAACACCACTCAGATCATGTTTGATTCATCTAAGGTTTTCCTTTTCATTTCTGTTCCAAAGCCAGACTTGTGAAGACATGTCATTAAAGATTCAATGTAATGATGCTTTTTTTTGTGAATTATCGTCCACCATAATGACTAATCTGTCATTAAACTCCTCTTAATCTTTTCATTTCTGTTTCAGTTGGAGAGCACAGTCATGCCCTATTTGTCAGTGCTGTCAGATTTCAGAGAAGATGTGAGAAAAATTGCAAGAGAGAAAAAAGGTAAATCTCTCTGTGTTTTATTTATTAATATAGTAGTGCAAAGACCTACAATGTGTACTCAAGTCATTTGGTTTGTTCTAATTTATTTCTTTATAGGATTTGTTTCCTTTTTTATGGGTGTTGTTGTAGCTATACCTCCAATAGACATTTGCATATAATACAGATTGTGCTTTTTATGCAGAAAAGAGAATTCTTTAGCGAAATGTGTGTGTTTTCCAGTGACAGAATTGCTGCGGCTGTGTGACGAATTGCGTGATGATACTTTACCTGAGCTGGGTGTCCGATTGGAGGATCGGGATGGTAAATGAAAGATACAGAGATTTTATTAAACCATGAATGTCAGGGAAAATGACAGTGTTCTTTGTTGTTTTTCTAAGGACTTCCCACGTCTGTGAAATTGGTGGACAAAGAAACACTTCTGAAGGAAAGAGAAGAGAGGAAGAAGGTAATTGCAGAATCCATCTATATGGCAGTATACTGTGATAACTCTACTTGATTTATCTGGTGTAGATTTTCTATCTCTTTTCACATATAGTACTGCCAGAGATGTGCTGGTCTGCAGTACACCTTAAGTTAAAATTAGTCATTAATCAGATCAAAATTATCTCTCTACCAGGGTAAGGTGATACGTTCCTTCTGTCAATGGAAAAAAGTTTCTTACCATATCAGGCATCACAAAAGTAATTATTCAAATGCAAACCAGGTCATGAAAAATGTATTTAGGCCTTTCGAGCCTGTCAGTGTAAATGACAGTCTTTAGAATGAATTGTAAGGACTCAAGTTGCACCGGTTTATTGTTGTACCTTCTTTGAATTACTCCTTTGAACCTTGTATGCACGCTTACAGCTCTGGACACATTCTGCAGATGAATCATGATCCACCTGAGATGGTCACAGCAAATAGTGTTTCTAAAAAAAGGAGGGTGGGGGCATCCCGGAGACTTTATCTATTTGTTTATGAGCATCAGAGCATCTTCATATTTGAAAATTAAAATACACTATGAACACATTACCGTTCAAACGTGCTCGGTAAGATTTAAAAAAAATAACTTCTATTTCTATTTTAACATTTTATTATGTTATTTATTCCTTTGATGGCAAAGATGAATTTTCAGTCTCCAGTCTTGAGTGTCACATGATCCTTCAAAAATCATCCTAATATGCGGATTTGATGCTGAAGAAACATTTATTATTATCAGAGACATTTATTATTTTATTGAAAAAAACAGCTGCTTAATATTTTTTGTGGAAAGCATGATAGGTTTTATTCAGGATTTTTGGAATTTCAAAAGTACAGCATTTATTTGAAATGAAAATCTTTTGTAACAATGTAAAAGTCTTTATTATCATTTTTAATCAATTTAATTTAATTTCATCCTTGCTGAGCTAAAGTATTAATTTCTTTTTTAAACAACTTACAGATCCCAAACTGTACTGTAAATATTTGGTCAATTTTAAATGATATATTAAAAGATCCAATTATTATTTTGTTGTTTCATGTTAATGTAAATTTGAACTTAATTCTTATATTCCACTTATTCTTTCATGTTTCAAGATGGAAGATGAAAAGAAAAAGAAAAAAGAGGAGGCTGCCAGGAAGAAACAAGAACAAGAGGTGATTAAAACAATTGCAGAAACCCCCTGACACTTCATAATTTAGTCACCCTTCATGTAAACAGCCTCTCACGTCTATTGATATATATTTTTGTTGCATTTACATACATTGAGAGAAGTGTATTCTTGTTAGTGCTTGGTTGTTTTAAATTGTTTGTATTATAAATATGTGTATATTTTATGTCATAGATGGCAAAGCTGGCAAAAATGAAGGTTAAGCCCAGTGAAATGTTCCGGTCAGAGACTGACAAGTATTCCAACTTTGATGAAACGGTAATGAAAACCATTTAGTCTTCTTTCTCATAAGATACACTCTTGTATGTCACAATACTGTATGTTGGATCCATTTTTTGATTACGTGATTATTGGTCTATAAGGGATGGATGAGTCCTTATGAATTTTGAATCATTTGGTCACATCTATTCAGAAATGCTAATAGTATGTCTGTTCTTTGCTTATACAGGGCTTCCCAGCACATGATGCTGAGGGAAAGGAGCTCAGTAAGGGACTGGCCAAAAAGCTTCGCAAGCTTTACGAGGCTCAGGAGAAACTGTATAATGAATACCTCCAGTCGACCCAGAACGGGAGCTGAGAACCTGATGTGTTTAGTCTGATGTGAACTGTCCGCCCTTACTGTCTGTTGTGAACTTGTCTTGTGTTAAAGGCAGCAAAACTTAAAGACCTCATCTGTGAGTTTTGGCTCTATATGGTAAGGTTTTGCCCAAATCCTTCTGGTCATGTTTGGAAGGTTGTTTTTTTTTTATGCTCTGCGAAGTATTTTATGACTATGGTATTAAGGGCATATACTTTTCATTGTGTGTTTTCTGCACACATAGAACAAAGATGCAAGTATATCAGAACTTTTCTAATATGGGTTTGGTGTTTATATGATGTATGCCAGAAATATTTAGCTGTTCATGTGGAAAAGGATCAAACATTCAATGTTTTCATTAATGATTTTTTAAATCTGGCTGGTCAAAGAGGTGTTTTCTCCAAAACACTGTTTACAGATCAACTAGTGATAAATATGATTCCTCCTGAATCAAAAAAATCTCAGATGATACAGGAATGAAGGGACTTCAGGTTTGTAGGTTTACAACAAATGGAAAAACAGAGGCATACATAAGAGCACCAATTATTTTTAGTGTTAACATACTCTTTATAAGAACATGAAATTCCAAAATAAAAAAAGGATTTTGAATAATGTGTGATGCTTATTTGTCCATAGTACCTTATTTCTGCAAAAGTTGCCATCAAGACTTATCTATAAAAGTTTTGTTCATACAGTTGTAGTCTAATATTGTGCGAACAACTACAGATATTTAGTTTACAGTCATAAAACATCTGCACAGAGCTTCACATAAACCTGGTGAACATATCGAACTGAATAATAGCTTCATGAATCGTACGGCATCAATACGAGCGGTTGTAGAGTGAACCGAGTCAAATACTGCGAACACAGAACCGTCATGTCCGATTCGGAGCTTAGCAGAAATGTTAGAAATAAAACGTGCTTGAAATGCATTATTAAAACATGCAATTAAGAAGATGCATTGTTTTTGCATTACTTAATGTAAGTGCAAATAATATAGGTTCTAAATTATTTTCTGTATCCTATTCGTGGTTGGAACAAATTAATATATACAAATTATATAATAAAACTAAGACACATGAGAGTAAAATAAACAGCTTTATTGGAATGTTTCAGAGCATGTAGTATGCTACTCACCGATGTCCGGGACCATATCGGCGCAAAAGAATCGCCGATAATCCGACACATTTCAGAGAATCGGTTCTTTTGAACAATACATGTCAAAGAACCGATTCAACCCGGCAGAGTATTCGACTGAGGCGGAGTATTATTGGACCAATGCGCTTTAGCTTTACTGCCGAGTCCATCAGCTGAACAACACCCGCTGGTTCAGGTAAGAAAAGCAATCTCTCAAACTAAAATCTTACTTTCTACTTTGCATTTTACCTGAAATACATATTATGAGTGTCCAGTTTACGTCAAGCAGAATGGATCATTTTTCCGTGGCTTTAAATGCATGATTCTAGTGTGCTGCTTGTGCTCTCACTGCATGTCATCTTTGTTTTGATAAAGTTGCGAGTGACTGCTACAAATTGTTACAGTTTACAGGTCAGTTAACGAACAATAACCCTGTAAACTGTTAACCGCAGCAGAAATAGTCAAAGCTCACACCCGGAGTGTGTTTTGTGAGGGTCTGTTAGCCCGCTAGCCTGTGACATTTACAGTTCACCCGTCTTCAGTGCTGGTTTGGAGATCTTCCAGTGCCCGCCCTCTGTCACTGCTATGACCCCCTCCATCAGCTGTGCTAAACTGGTGGTTGCGGAGATTATGAGATCTGATTTAATCTGTTATGATCTGGATGTGGCTAGTTAGCGTGTTAGCCGCTAGCGTGAGTGTATCTCTGATGGGCGTCAACATAAACACATCTGTTTGTACCTTTATTTTGAGCTGCTGGTTTTAATTTCGGCCGTTTTGCTGCTTGCTAAACATTAGAAATGTAAACGTATCGCTTCTTGCAAATAAGGATTGTTTGGCTTTCTCTTACCAGCCTTTACTATGGTAAGCAAAGTTATAAATAGCAAATTTGGGATCTTTTCAAGCTAAGAATTTTTCAAAATCTTTCGTTATTTATTATTATTATTCCGATTAGCATGCGTCATTCTTTATTATAATTCCTATAATAATAATAATTATTGTTGTTATTATTATTGGGCTCTAATAACAAGATATCTGTTTTGTTTTAGTAGTATAATAATGATACGGCTGTAACTATGGAATTACCATGTTAAATGTCTAGCTTGTGGGTTTTGTTTTGGAAATATTAATAATAATAATAATAATAACTCAAATATGAAGCAAGCACTACAACGTCAGTTAAGTATCAATTATTTCAATGAATTGATTCAGATAGAATATTAGCATGCGTCATTCTTTATTATAATTCCTATAATAATAATAATTATTGTTGTTATTATTATTGGGCTCTAATAACAAGATATCTGTTTTGTTTTAGTAGTATAATAATGATACGGCTGTAACTATGGAATTACCATGTTAAATGTCTAGCTTGTGGGTTTTGTTTTGGAAATATTAATAATAATAATAATAATAATAACTCAAATATGAAGCAAGCACTACAACGTCAGTTAAGTATCAATTATTTCAATGAATTGATTCAGATATAAATTTTTTAACATAACTGGACTCCACGTTGGTTTTTATGGTTAAAAATGTCCCTCAAAATAAATGTTTTGCTTTGTGGTAATTTAAGTTCATTACACTGTTGTTTTGGTTGTGCAAAGCATCACCTGTTTTTACTACAAATGCATTTTTAAAAAATAAATATGATTGAAATGTCTGAATGATAATTAATATATATATGTAATTTTGTCTTTACCAATAGAAAAAAAAGTTCTTTTAGACAAGCTGAAGTTGTATGTTGTTTTTCACAGAATATTTGAGCTGTGGTATCAAGATGGATGCTGACAATGAAGCCAAAGGTATAGAAAGTATGAATTCCTTTGAAAAAAAGAAAGTATGAAAAAGCAATCTTGCATTTTTCACATGAGCTATACCTTGTATAGTCTGTATAGCTTTTGAAATGCTGACACATTTATGAACTGGAAGGGAACGTGATTTTATGTGTTACTTAGATTGTCTTGTAAATTATTTTTTGATTCAGGGTGGTTCTCAAACAAAAGCCTGTATAATGTTTCAGTGTAAAAGTTTCATGAAGCTTCAGCACATCACTGCTGCCAGTGATTTAATGGAAAAGATTGTCTCATAGGTTCTTTTAAGAAATTTGTGCAATCTCACAAACCTACTGAGAGCGATATCAAAGCAGAAACAACTAAATTTGAAACAATACAGTGCTGTGTTTCACTGTGCTGAACATGATTTTATGCTTCATTTAAGATGGATGTCTGTTTGTGGAAAGGACTGTGTGCAGTATAAACATTCTTTGAGAGTTGATAGTCATAAATGCCATTGATTTTGCCATTGATTCATTTTTTTTATGCTGGTAATGGCATGTTATTTTCAGGGAAGGTGAGCGACCAGGCGATGCAAAACCCACAAGCGTTGGCAGCTCTTCAGGACAAAATAGACAGTGTCTCACATAGTGCTTCCATCATGGACAGGTAAGCAAGATGAAACACTAAGGCTTTTCTTACAAACCAAACTAATAACTTGGAACCATAGAGACTAACAGGGCAAACAACAATTTTGCACCTTATTGTTTTTATTTCTGGTCATGGCATGGTCATGTCTTTTTTTTCCCCTATCTAAACTATTTCCTAACTGGATTTGGCTCATATTTCCTGTGTGAATTTTAAAACTGGGCATTGCATTTTTATTGTTCGTCATGTTTCATAGAGAGACAACATTGCTGCTGTAATATAACCATCCATCTAAGGGGGAAAAACTCTAGTCTGACCATCTGCCTGTAACCTGAAATCTGCCTCTGCATGTTAAGTTATAACTAGGGATGTAACGATTAACCGCCAGCCGGTTGAAAATCGATGTAAATATGTGACAAAAAATATGTGTTAAATATTCAAATCGGTTGAGATGCTAAACAAATCGCGATTCGGTTAGGGGTAGGAGTTTATATGAATGTATGTCTGAGGAGAACTTACTGTCTTTCGATGGTACTTTTTCTTTTCCTCTTGCCTCTGTATAATGCATATTAAAGGGGTCATGATGCTTTTTTAAAGATCATTATTTTGTGTATTTGGTGTAACAGAATATGTTGGCATGCTTTAATGTTCAAAAAACACATAATTTTTCAAATACTGTAGGTCCTCTATGCCCCGCCTCTCAAACGTTTTCTACAAAGTCCCTCCTTCCGACAAGCGCAGTCTGCTCTGATTGGCCAGCTGACCCAGTGTATTGTGATTGGCCGAACACCGCAAGCACTCATCGGAAATGTAATTCCCCTTACCATAATCGCAAGCTTCATCTTTCAAAATAAATGTAAAGACAGAGCCCGAAAGGGGAACAGAGTCGTGTGACAGACACAGTGATGAAGCTGGTATGTGTTTGCAGTACACAAGCCACGGTTAAGACAGCTGACTTCACTGTGATGTGACCCCCTCCAGAGCATGTGAGCGGAGCGGAGCGGGGAGCGGAGTGGTAATATTTCCTTAAGAGCACAGAGCGCCTTTCTGAAGATTCCGCTCCGCTCGCTCAATACGCTCAGCGCCGCTCGCTCAACCCAGAATGCCGTTTGGAGATTTGCTTGTTCGAGATCGAGAATCTGTAGAGATCGAGAATAGTAGAGCAGTTATGGAGTTCAGATATTGTTTCAACGAAGTTGCAAGCCTTATACATAAATGTAAAGTAAAGTAAGTTAAGAATGAGCAGGGAGAAGAAACTGAGAGGGAGTGTGGGGAGAGTTAGTAAAGATTCATATTGGAATCTGAAGCGGCACATTGCCAGAAAGCACGAGGATGTGCTACGCAAACATGGTGCCGCAAAAGGTGAGCTAGTTACATACCATAATAAATGAATAAACAGGTAGGCTAAGGTTATATTCGGTTGTATGGAGCCCCGATCATGACATGCAGACAATCACGGCCAACGAATTTAGAATAGGCTAGTTCTCTTTTATGCTAGGACTACATTATGGCCACGAATTAAGAATAAATTTTTTCGTTTAGTCTAAATTATGGCCACAAATTAAGTATTTGTTCTCTTGTTTAGGCTTAACTGCCACGAATTCATTCGTTCGTTAATTCGTTAATTCCCTATAGTAGGCCTAAATCGTGGAACAAATTATTATATTTCGTAATTACTTATTAAAATTATTATTACTTAAAATTAATAAATAATAATAAATTCATTTAAAAAAGAATAATACCTGCTGACGTCTTTGAGACTTTAGTCTTTGCAACTTCAGGGATCTTATCTATGCACAATCAGCTTGTAACACTCCAAAGAGAAAGGAAAACTTGAAATCGCATCATATGACCCCTTTAAAGTTCATACAGCGGAAACCAAGGAAACGCTTTAAGCTCCACCTGCTGGCAGAGAGTGAATCTGCGTCTCATCAGCTCAGCTGTTTCCGTTTCATGCAGATATTTTTTTATGCATAGTTTCACAAAACTGAAGTCAAACCATTCTATTTTTGATTCAAATTTTGAAACTATACAATGTAGTCTAGATTAATCTTTTATCCAGAGCGACTAACAAATGAGGACAATAGAAGCAATCAAAACCAACAAAAGAGCAATAATTTACAAGTGCTATATTAGTATATTATTATAGTGTTATATTTCAATTTCACAAAGAAACTTACAGTATTTTGTCCGAGCAATAATAAAAGGACACATTTAATTTATAATTTGTCTTGAATTTCGTTTTGTTAAAAAAAATTGCGAATCGAATCGTGAAATCAAAATCGTGAATCGAATCATGAGTTGAGTGAATCGTTACATCCTTAGTTATAACATAGAAGTCAGTCCTAATGCTGTGTATCTATGTATGTCTTTGTGTGTGTCAGCTTGACGATGCCCAGAGAGAGGTCACTCACCCGTGAAGGCTAATCGCTCCTTGAGTTTGGCTGTAGTTGTAGTGGTCATGAAAACGATGACACAGACAACAGTATTTGCACAAAACAGCAATAATCTATTTGTGTGTGAACAACACTGCAAGACCAAACATAAGACTTGTGGAAAGGGTGCTGGCTAGAAAGCAACTTAATATTTTTTAAACCAAGCAGTCAGCTTATTAAAACCGATTCGGTGATTGCAGCTCACACTTTATAATAACGTATTTGCTGTTTGCATGAAGCATGTGACTCGATGTGATATGAACAGGGATCTTGTATCTCATGTTCTTACTTCAAACCCATCTGTTGACCCCAGAGAGTAGGGGAATGCACCGGTCCAGCTGTGCAGTACCGGACACCCATCTGCTCACCTCACACAATGTCTTTCTTCTCTTCCTCTCCCAACTTCTTTCCAGCTTACCAAAGTCTGTGAAAAGAAGAGTCAATGCCCTAAAGAATCTTCAGGTTAACAGCACGCACATCGAAGCCAAGTTTTACAAGGAGGTGCATGAGCTGGAGAGAAAGTATAGCGCTCTTTATCAGCCGTTATTTGACAAAGTGAGTTGGGTTAGAACTGGAGAGGATCTGCAACTTGGAGGAATGGCAGAGGATCCCCAAATTCAGGTGTGAAAAACTTGTTGCATCTTTCCCAACAAGACTCATGGCTGTATTAGATCAAAAGGGTGTTTCTACTAAATACTGAGCAAAGGGTCTGAATACTTAGGACCATGTGTTATTTCAGTTTTTCTTTTTTAATAAATCTGCATAAATGTCAACAATTCTGTGTTTTTCTGTCAATATGGGGTGCTGTGTGTACATTAATGAGGAAAAAAAATTAACTTAAATGATTTTAGCAAATGGCTGCAATATAACAAAGAGTGAAAAATTTAAGGGGGTCTGAATACTTTCCGTACCCACTGTATATATATATATATATATGTGTGTATGTATGTATGTATTTATTTTAGCATTATATTTTTACATTGTGGAATACACCTGTTAGGTGCTTTCTTCAGTTACTCCTTTATGTAGCCGTAACTTTTTAGCCATAAGCAGATAATATAATATGCAATATATATTTAAATATGCTACCATTCAAAACTTTTTCAAAAATAAATTAATAATTTTATTTAGCAAGGAAAAATTTAATTAATCAAAAGTGGCTGTTAAGACATTTGTTACAAACTATGTTTGTTTTTTTTGTTTTTTTAATAAATGCTGTTCCTTGCAAATCCTGAATAAAATGTATCACCGTTTCTACAAAAAATATTAAGTAAATATTAAATATCAACTGTTTTCATCTGAAATGTTTCTTGTTCTCATCAGACATGAATAAAATCTTACCAACCCCAAACTTTTGAACGCTTATGATCTCAGACAGTACTTAAAACTAATGTATTGTTGACAATGACAGACTCACTGAAGATGGGTCCAAGTATGAAATGTAAGATGAGGATGCATTGGGTCTGTGTAAAGTAGGCCTTGGATTTTCTGTAAACAGAGCTCTCAGGTAAATAATGAGGAAAGTGAGTGAAGAGAAAATTCAGAGAATTCAGAAGTGAAGGACGCATAAAAAGAGATTTCCTCTAAACCAGGAGAATGCATACTTTGATTTAATAGTTTTAGAAAGTCCTTGAAAAAGAAAAAAAGTTTAAACATATGCCACAACATATACCTCTTGACAGTGCTGCTACACAAAAGAAAGAGAGATACTGGTACAAAGTAAATAAAATCTAATATAATAACAAGACCCTGTTGAATGCTTTCAAGAGTAATACTGTTAAATTGGGGGAAAATGCTATTATTATTTTTTTAAGAATTGTATAAGAGTTAATGTGCTCTTAAATGCACTGAAAATCTTTGTTAGTGTTCTTATATTTAAAGTTGCCACAGTCGTTATATACTTTGTATGTGCTGTACTTTATTTGTTCCATTTTGTTTACCTTTTAGAATTTAAAAGATCAAGAATTTGTTTAATTAACAAGATCTGATTGTAGTTCTTGAAAAACTGTATACCGTATCTGTTCCTCTGTGTCCTGTAGGTTTCAGGATGGCTCCAAAGCACACAAAACCTCTTGAGCGGAATGTGAACACTCCTCTCATTTGTCTGGATGGGTAATATGATATTCTTTCACAAGTGGACTTTTTGTGTGTTTCCAGAGAAGGAACATTGTCTCTGGAGAAGTGGAACCCACTGATGAGGAGTGTGAATGGCAGAGTGACCATGAGGATGAAGCAGCATTAGCAGTGAGAATAATCTGTCCACTCACACTGAAATCAGACAGAAGAGCGGTACTCTAAGAGAGACCTTTCTTTTTCAGGAAGATCTGAAGAAGAAAGCTGCTATAGAGGAAAAGACAGAAGATGCTAATGAGGAGAAACCCAAAGGAGTTCCAGAGTTTTGGCTCACCATATTCCGAAGTGTGGACATGTTGAGTGATATGCTGCAGGTGAACCAGCAGAACATTAGATATTCCTCTATTCTTTTCTGAGTAATGATTATTTAATGGTTTCTTTTGCCCTGTAACCTTGTAAAGACAATATACAGCTTTATATTATATGAATAGGAATACTGTTAGATAGTTATGAATACAATTTCATGAAAAGACATGGTAATGTTCAGACACCACATATTTTACAGCACATTTGAAATGAAAAGAAAACCTATGCTGTCTATAATGTTCTCTTTCTTAACAGGAGCATGATGAACCAATACTTAAACATCTTCAGGATATTAAAGTGATATTTTCTGGTCCTGATCAACCCATGGTAATGACAATATTTGAAGTTTTTATGTTGATTTTAAAGTGAACCCTGTGACCTGAACTGAATTTTTACTCTTTTACACAATATGAATGTCTTGTCATAACTGCTGTACATATCGGATCATTTTAATTGTACTTAAATGTATTTTATTATTACTTCTTTTTTTTATATATATATACAGAGCTTCACATTAGAGTTCCGTTTTGAACCCAATGAATACTTCACCAACACAGTTCTCACAAAAGTATACAAGATGAAGTCGGAGCCAGATGCAGAGGATCCGTTTTCATTCGAGGGACCGGAAATCATCGACTGTGATGGGTGAGCACTTCTCAAACAATACCTGCTCAGATTGTCAGCAGCTTTTCACACTTTTATTATTCATCTCTCCCGTTGGCAGGTGTGAAATTGATTGGCACAAAGGCAAAGATGTGACGGTAAAAACGATCAAGAAGAAACAGAAGCACAAAGGCAGAGGGACAGCGAGGGTCATCACCAAACAAGTGCCCAATGACTCCTTTTTCAACTTTTTCAACCCTATTAAAGGTACGCAACATGACAGATGTGCTTACGAACTTTTAGAATAACAGGAGAATGAGACCAGTAGGTTGAATTGTACACTGGGAAATCATAAGGTGCACTGCACTGCATGACATGAGTGTGTCACGATAATTCTCAGTATGGTTTATTCTTAATATTTATTCTCTCATTTAGAGGTTTTCATACTGTAGGTTTACTCTTTTGCTGGTTCATGAAGTCACCAATATTTCTTTTCTTTTAGTTTCACCAGATAGAGAGTTGGTGAGTATTTTCTGGTTTTAACTCATCCATAGCTTGGCATTTATTTGGCCTGATATCAATTATATTTATAGCTTTTGAGTGTCAATAAGTAAGTTGTTGTCTGCCTTATCCACCATTATATCTTCTGATAGACATGAGTGATTCGTTTACTTTGAAGGTTTAGAGAACCTTTTCAGAGAAATAATCAGACTTCATTTTCATCTTCGCATTATCAGAAAAGTTGTGTTCTTTTGCTTCGTGTTCAACAGGATGAGGATTCAGAGTACACTTTAGCCACAGATTTTGAAATCGGTCATTTCTTCAGGGAAAGGATCGTTCCGAGAGCAGTTTTGTATTTCACAGGAGAAGCTCTGGAGGATGATGAAAGTGTACGTCTTTTCAAATGACTATTTCTTGGCGTATGATATCTACGCTTCAGCAGAGTAATTGCATTTATTTGTTATATACATTCGTTTGTTTGTGTCTGCTGATGCAGTTTGAAGAGGAGGAACTGGATGAGGGTGAAGAGGAGGTGAGTTCACCATACTGTAAACATTTTGAAGATGAATTGAGGAGTCAGTGTTTTATGAAACTTCACAGTTGAAATCAGTGATGTTTTATATCAGGGGAGTTAAACTCAATTCCTGGAGGGCAAGAGCCCTGCAGAGTTTTGTTCCAACCCTGCTGCAACACACATGCCATGTAGTTTTCATATAAGCCTGAAGGACTTGATTAGTTGGATCAGGTGTGTTTAATTAGGGTTGAATCTAAACTCTGCAGGGCTGCGGCCCTCCAGGAATTGAGTTTGACACCCCTGTTTTATATGATATTATGTTCAACTGTGTAGAATAACTCTGTGTTTTGTCTGAAATAGGACCCAGATGAGGAGGATGAGGACGATGAAGAGGAGGGAGATTCCAAGGTCAGTGTGAATTTAGATCATAACTTAACCTGAAATTTAAAAAGGAATTATTTCATTGTCTCTTTGTTCAGCGTTCCTCAGTCTCTGTAACTAATCATTTTCTGTCTTTTTTTTTCCTTTGGATAAATGTTTGTGGTTTATTTGCATGTTTGATGATTAATGATTATTGTGGTTGTTCTCTACCTCCTGTTCTGCCCTAGTGACAGGCATAAGTCATTCTCACCTCATACATTTCTAGGTAAGAAAGAAATGTCATGAGTCCATTCTAACCTTTGCCTTCACACGTCCCTCTCAGCCTCATCCCTCTCCTTATGTCTGCTATCCCATCCTCACAGCACCCCTGTGACATTATATTAAGCCAGGGGTGCCCAAACTCGGTCCTGGAGGGCCGGTGTCCTGCAGAGTTTAGCTCCAACTTGCCTCAACACACCTGCTGGTAAGTTTCTAGTATGTCTGTAAGAGCTTGATTAGCTGGTTCAGGTATGTCTAATTGGGGTTGGAGCTAAACTCTGCAGGACACCGGCCCTCCAGGACCGAGTTTGGGCACCCCTGTATTAAGCCATTCGTTTTATATATCATTAAGGCCTTGCCCAAAACCTCAGTACAGGACTGTAACAGAAAAGAGAAGAGCACAGAATCACAGCTGCTGTATTAGAGAATTTTGGACAAGGTCCTTCCGTCCATTTTGCTTAATGTATCTTGCTTAATAGTTATTGATGGTATTTAGTAGGTCAAGTTCTTTTCCAGCTCAGATATGTGGCATCCTCTTTTGAATGCATAATATCTTGCTATAACTTCACATCCACCTATTCAAGGTCATAATCCACCACCAAGCATAGACGTGGAAGAATCCTGAAAGAAAAACATCATGGTTTCCAGAAAAAGAATAAGCAGCACATCAACAATAATAAGCAAAACATCAAGAAATGTTTTTAGAGCATCAAAATGCATATCAGAATGATTTCTGAAGGATCATGTGACACTTAAGACTGGAGTAATAATGCTGAAAATTCAGTATTTTAAAGCGTAATAATATTTTACAATATTACTGGTTTTACTGAATTTATAAAAAAAATACAGCCTTGGTGAGCAAAAGAGACTTTTTTAAAAACATTAAATGAATATTATCTTGAATGGTAGTGTCCATTCTTTTATTATTTGTTATTAATGTATTTTAATTTCCCCCCACCAAAACAGTCTGAAATTAGTTTTTCATGACACTTTCAATCATTCTTGACACTTTTTACTGAATTTATAAAAAAAATACAGCCTTGGTGAGCAAAAGAGACTTTTTTAAAAACATTAAATGAATATTATCTTGAATGGTAGTGTCCATTCTTTTATTATTTGTTATTATTTTATTTTAATACCCTTAATGTTAGTCAAGTTCCCCCCACCAAAACAGTCTGAAATTAGTTTTTCTTGACACTTTCAATCACTTCATAGTACCATACCAAATCAGTAACAAGTACCATGTAGTCATATGAAGCTGGTGTGCAACGATGTGTATCGTGAAAAGTGCTATACAAATAATTATTAATTGAATTGAATTGGATATGTTAATATTTTGGGTTTACGGTGTCAGAAACTGTAGGATTTCAGAACAATAATTTTTTCAACAGCTTATTACTTCAATCTGTTTGCACTTGAGGGGAAGTTTTGAGTTCTGAAAATTATGTTGTTGTTATTTTTATTTTTTATTTTTCAAAAGTTCAAGTGAGATTTGGTTTGTCGTGATATGACCCCTTCATGGAAAGCAACTGCTTCATACATAGCACGTTTTCTTTCGGTGGATCAGGCTGTGGTGAAAGATGCTTTCTCCATTTAGTGATGATGTATCTGCAGTACAAAAGAGTGGTGATTCACTTTAGATTCCCTGATGTTTTTATCTTAATTAATGACTGCACTCCCATTGTTGGTGCTACAAAGGCCTAGAGAGATGCGTCAGTGTAAATGTGCTTTCATGAAGCCACTCTTCTGTGATGAAGATATATCTCCCTCTCTTTCTCCTACACTCCTCCTGCCTTAAGTTGCAGATACTGTATCAAGTTATTGAATAAAATATTTCTCTCTCCCTTTCCCCATCCCAATCTTTTATGTTTTTTTTTTCCAGACTGGGAATCCTCAGCCTGCAGAGTGCAAACAACAGTAGTTTGGATCACTCACTCCTGCCACTGTCAAACCCCATCAGCTCAGCTAGAATCAGCCCTGTCGTGTGGCATACATTCCCTGATGAGCACACCATCCAACAAAACAAAACACGATGATGCAGTACATTGGTAAACTACTTTTTTTTTTTTATCCTGCAGAATTTGCTTACTTTAAAATCCAATCGCTATACAACACTATAGATAAATTGGGCAATTCCAGATTACAGTTGGGTCTCCGAATGTAGATATATACATAAATAAATGTAAAACTATTTTTTAATTCATGATTTAGACATGTACAGACATAATGACTTCAGATATCTCATTGCATAGCCAAAAAAACGTTGACTTGCAGGTTTGAAACAATCTTGCAAGCATCGTCTTCGCATTCTAACAGGTGAAATGTATAAAATAAATGGGATTGTATTCTAACTTCCTGTGCACATCTAACCTTTGTGAAGGTTGCTTGTATTTAACAAATAGTTTCTCTTCTCACTTTTGAAGTGTTCTGTGTCATGGGCATAACCATTTGTTTTTACACAGCATATCTTTATGTACTTTTTGAACAAAACTGCATGTTTGTGCACTTATTTATTTATGGAACTGCTAGTTAGCTAGCCAGTCCAACTAATGTATCAGTGATATGTTGCAGGCATCAGGTAATTGTGTTTAATCATATCTGGCCTCTTTGCAATATGGATATCTAACATTTCCATCAGAATATGTTTTGCTGATTTATGTACTGTACCCAGTTGATTATAGCCCCTTTTAGCATTTTAAAAATGCTTTTGCTGTACTGCCTAAGCACTTACAAAAAAACAAACAAATTAAACAAATACTTTTATTGCCTAAGAGAGAGATGTGGTTTTACTTGACCATAACCTTTTCTGTGTCTGAAGTATTTCAGGTCTGCGTTTTGTTTTAAATAATTCGATATTAATGCTAAAGAATGCATGTTATGTTAAAGGAATGTTTTGTTCAATACGCGTTAAAGCTGCAGTCCGTAGCTTTTTTGCGCTCTAGCGGTTAATAGCATTTTAAAAATGCTTTTGCTGTACTGCCTAAGCACTTACAAAAAAAAAAACAAATTAAACAAATACTTTTATTGCCTAAGAGAGAGATGTGGTTTTACTTGACCATAACATTTTCTGTGTCTGAAGTATTTCAGGTCTGCGTTTTGTTTGAAATAATTCGATATTAATGCTAAAGAATGCATGTTATGTTAAAGGAATGTTTTGTTCAATACGCGTTAAAGCTGCAGTCCGTAGCTTTTTTGCGCTCTAGCGGTTAATAAACATTGTAGCCGGAGCTACTTCTCTCTGTTTATGTCTATGGCGAATCACGCAGGTACTGGGCTACTCCGCAGCGGTACCTACCCGAACCAGTCTAAATAGTCCGAATATAAACACTTATTATAGGTGTACCGTAGTGATTCATGACAAGCCAAAAGCACTGTTTGGAAAATTGATTCATGGTGTACTCGCTTATTATATAAAGTTTGTAAATTTTGAACGCAAAAAAGCTGAATTCTAAAGTCAAATCTAAAACCATACAGGCAATATGAAGGAGTTTTTCCATTCTTTAGAGGGGTTTGTTAGTAGGTGCATTTTGGTAGTATTGTCTGTAGGGGGCTCTGCATCTGTTAACCACTGCATACACTCAATGCCCACTTTATTAGTTACACCTGTTCAACTGCTTGTTAACGCAAATATCTAATCAGCCAGTCACATGGCAGCAACTAGGCATGTAGACGGTCAAGACAGTCTGTTGAAGTTCAAACCGAGCATCAGAATGGGGAAGAAAGGAGATTTGAGTGACTTGGAATGTGGCATGATTGTTGGTGCCGGACAGACTTGTCTGAGCATTTCAGAAACTGCTGCTCTACTAAGTAGGTGCATTTTGGTAGTATTGTCTGTAGGGGGCTCTGCATCTGTTAACCACTGCATACACTCAATGCCCACTTTTTAGTTACACCTGTTCAACTGCTTGTTAACGCAAATATCTAATCAGCCAGTCACATGGCAGCAACTAGGCATGTAGACGGTCAAGACAGTCTGTTGAAGTTCAAACCGAGCATCAGAATGGGGAAGAAAGGAGATTTAAGTGACTTGGAATGTGGCATGATTGTTGGTGCCGGACAGACTTGTCTGAGCATTTCAGAAACTGCTGCTCTACTGGGATTATCACGCACAACCATCTCTAGTGTTTACAGAAAATGGTCCGAAAGAGAGAAAATATCCAGTGAGTGGCAGTTATGTGGGTGAAAATGCCTTGTTGATGTCAGAGGGGAATGACAAGACTGATTCGACCTGATAGAAAGGCAACAGTACCTCAAATAACCACTCGTTATAACCGAGGTATGCAGAAGAAAACCTTGAAGCGGATGGGCTACAGCAGCAGCCCACAGTGTACCCATATTATAATGGTTACTTCCAGCAGGATAACATGAGATGTCACAAAGCTCAGATCATCTCGAACTGGTATATTGAACACGACAATGAGTTCACTGTACCAGTGTACTCATCTAACACACTTGATTCAACTCATCAGCTCCTTAGTAAAGACTTCAAGAACTAAATTTGGTGTGTCTGATAAGGGAGACATACAAAATGTGCAGGGGGTCCTCCAGGACCGGTTTGAAAACCACTGCACTACACTCAAATGGCCTCCATAGTCACCAGATCTCAATCCAATAGAGCAGTGGTTCTCAATTCCAGTCCTGGGGACCCACTGCTCGGCACATTTTGTATGTCTCTCTTATTTGACACAATCGGTTCAGTTCATGGATCTGTCTCCTAATGAGCTGGTGATCTGAATCAGGTGTGTTAAATAAGGGAGACATGTAAAAAAAAATGTACAGAGCAGGGGGTCACCAGGACTGGATTTGAGAAACCTTTGGGATGTGGTGGAACAGGAGGTCCGCATCATGGATGAGCAGCCGGCAGATCTGCAGCAACTGCATGGTGCTGTCATGTAAATATGGACCAAAGTCTCTGAGGAATGTTTCCAGCACCTTGTTGAATCTGTCATGAAGAATTACAACTGTTCTGAAAGCAAAAGGGGCCGGTGAGTGTTTGTTGACCTCTCATCCTGTATTTTCATTAGGCAGGGTTTATTTATGCAAAGAGAAACCCCTTTTGCATTTACATGAAATCTGTCAATCAGTTTAAAAAGTACTTTTCAAGTGTGAACCATGCTCAGATGACATCTGTTATACATTTAACGCATGGATGACAGATTTCATGTCTTCTGCAAGACAAAAGGCCGGTTTGACAAACCAAGACACAGGCTGAGGAGTTCTCCTAAAGAGGGGAAGGACTGGAGTGACATGCCAGTCACTTCCCAACAGGTGTGTCTGACTTGAAGTGGTGCTGCGCAAACAGATCGGCGTATGACATCAAAGTACACTTTTAAAAATAAAGGTGCTTCAAAAGGTTCTTCATGCGATGCCATAGAAAAACCATTTTTGGTTCCACAAAGAACTATTGTCAAAGGTTCTTTAAAGAACCATCTCTTTCTTACATTTTTATAATCCGAAGAACCTTCTTGCGCCACAAAGTACCCTTTGTGAAACCGAAAGATTCTTCAGATGTTAAAGGTTCTTTATGGAGCCCATTAGACAAAAAGGTTATTCTATGGCATCATGAATCACCTTTATTTTTAAGAGTGTACCACGAGAGCGATTGGAAAGCATGCAGAACTGTCCACAGTGCCGCTTCAAGTCAAACACGCCTAATGTCTATTAGCAAGAAACTGGTGAAGTCTAGTAAAACTCACCTAGTGAGTTGCACACAGGGAGTCAGGAATTCCAATTTGATGTACTGATTGTCAAGCGCACACACACCGTTATCCTCACTCTCTTTACTATACTGTCGCTAAACTACAGGTGATGTCAATGGTCCCTGTCATTCTCTCTCTCTCTCTCTCTCTCTCTCCTCCAGTGGGACTGAAATCTGAAAATGCCTCATCGCCATGATGTATGCACACCACTGTCCAAAAAAAAATGAAGTCTCTTCTGTTCACCAAGGCTACATTTATTTGATTTAAAAGTACAATGAAACAATAACATAATTTATTTCTGTGATGGTGAAGCTGAATTTTCAGCAGCCATTACTCCATTCTTTAATATCACTTGATCCATCAGAAATTATTCTAAAATGCAGATTTAAACATTTTCATTATCAATGTTTGAAACAAATGTTGCCTTATATTTGTGGAAAAAACATTTCACACAAATTAAAAGCTTTTTTTTTTACTAACGTTTAAACAGTACTGTACATGCTCATATGCCTAGTATGTTAAAGATGAGAAATTATTATTAAACACAAACCAGCATGCATATTTGACAGGAAGGAGTATCATTTTTAGTTGCTTGCTTCTACTCAATCTATTTTTTTTATCTATCCATGTTTCTTCTGTTAAACCTCCTTTTCTATCTTTTTCTAACTCCTCTGTTCTGCTCTTGTAATTGTATGCCTCTTCTCGTGCTTTATTTTGTGCTCCAATTTTGCATTCACTGTTGTCTAAATACAACAACTTTTCTTTACTATTACCTCATCCCTTCACTCCTCGCCTTTTGTCTTTCTTCCTCTGTCCTTCCAGTCGCCCCCCCCCCCCCCCCCCCCCCCCCCCCCCCCCCACCCCCA